CCGCTGGTGGCCTGGGCCTCGTTTCGGCGACGTGCACCGCACCATGAGCCTATTGGGCATCTTGGGCCGACACGTTGCCCACACTGCAGGCACAAGCGCCACAGCTTTACAACGCCTTGCAGCCTAGCTTCGCACATCCTTCCACAGCCCCACCGTCAGTCCAAGCAGCCCACGATGCCGCGCATCATCTCGAGCAACAAGGCTGGGCGACCCCTTCCTTGGCAGCGCTCCCCCAACAGCCCCACAACTCAGCCCCGCCCCTCCATGAATCCGGGCCACCAACTTTTATCCGGGGCTGGCAGCGTACACCGGTCCAAGCAACCCACAGAGCCCTGCAAACGGAACTTCACCTCACCCTTGACCCAGCCAGCCAAGCCATGATGGCCTCCCAGTCGGGTCCATTTGGCAGCCGCACTTTCACCACCATCCCATACGCACCTGAGCCCAAGTACCCCAGCCATCTCTTCCGCGTCCTGCTCCTGAGACGCCTCCGTCTCCCACTGCCACTGACTGAACGCCACTGCCGGTGCCGTCGCGTCCTCGACCCTCTTGGCGACCACCGCGCAGCTTGCCCACGGTCAGGGGCTCTTCGGAGTCGAGGTTGCCCCCTCGAACGCGCCGCAGCTAAAATATGCCGTGAGGCAGGAGCACGTGTCACCACAAACACCTTGCTCACAGACCTGAACCTGCCCTCAGTTGACCGGGTGGACAACCGCCGCATCGAGGTCATCGCGAACGGGTTGCCACTCTTCCAAGGTGCCCAACTGGCAGTCGACACCACACTAGTGTCCCCTCTTTCAACCACCAGCCAGCCACGGCGGAGAGACGGCGCCTATGCACGAGCAGCCCTGCGGGATGCGAGGCGAGCCAAGGAAAGAGTCTACCCTGAACTGACCCGTGGGGGACGGTGCCGCCTCGTCGTCCTTGGACTCGAGATTGGGGGCCGCTTCAGCGCAGAAACGGCGACCTTTCTCCGGCTGTTGGCAAAGACCCGGGCTCAAGGCGTTCTGCAACAACTTCGGGCCTCGGCAGTGGCAGCTTACATAGCCCGCTGGTCAGCCCTCCTCTCCGCGGCCGCCAGTCGCACCTTCGCAGCCAGCCTTTTGTTCGAAGACTCCGCCAACCACTCCAACATCGATACCAGCCTCCCTGAGCTCAGCAACCTGCTCCCCCAATGCCCAGAGCCCCCAGCCCATTCAAGACTCCCGAGCCACTGGCCCCCCCCTTGTGGGACTCTGGACTTTGGACTTCGCACATCTGGGGACCAGTATAAAAACTGTCAAAGCAGCCACCCGACCTAACTCACGCAGAAAAAGGCGCGAGAAAAAAAAAGGGGTACCCATTTTGTAAGAACTTGGAAGTATCCATTTTGTAAGGATTTGAGGTGAGGCTGGAGGAGTAGTAAGATCAGACCATGTCATTTTATAAGAAGTGTGTTTTAGGAGCAAACTCATTTTGTAAGAGTTTATGGTGCCTATCCTTCTGCCCCGTTGTTGGATGCAGAAAGTATGTGGTGGATGCACCAATGCATTCCATAAGGAAAACTAAACACAGATGTAACATCCCATTTTGTAAGAAACAGTCATTTTGTAAAAAAAACGTTGTGCGCAATACTTCTGTAAACAGCCGCCCGCTATTGGTGGCCATTTTGTTCACAGCACACTTCTTGCGGCCTCCTCATCACTCAGTGCTCTCGTCTCTCCTCGTTATGATTTTTCTTTGCTGGGGGTTTGTTTTGTTTCTGGCGCGCTTGGTCGACAGTGCACTTCCAGCGCTGGAAGAAGACACTGCATGCCTGACGCCTTACAAAACCAGTTGTGCTTCCTTTAAAAATAAGTCGCATTTGGGGGCCTCCCAAACTGATCAAGTCTGATGTACCAACAGTAGAAAACCTTCATTTCTTAAAACGAAATGCGCAACAATGTCAGTGCTTGACCCCACATTTCCTATAGATTGATGGAGGCCAGTGGAAAAATACTTGTTGGCCCTTTCATTTTGTATGCCTGACATTTGGATGCGCCTATGTATTTTTGTAAGATGTCTGGCTGCGCTCCCCGGTTTTTGTTACTTATAAAAAGTGGGGTCTAACCCCTCACGTCCAATTTTTACCCCGATTTTTTTTCCATAACTCCGTACCTCAGAACACACGACTCATATTTAAGAAGGACATGACACGTTTTTACAAATTCGGGTTCTGTGTTCGGGGGCCATTGTCCGATGTATATACAACATACTTGGCTGCTCACAAGACAGCCTACAGGGACATGACAGTTCTCAACCATCAGTGAGCTCGCAACATAGACTGCAGCATCATTTGTGACATCACCTATAAGATACCCCAGTAGGTTTTCAACCATCAGCGAGCCTCACATCAACTGCAACATGCTCCATTTTCCAGCGGGCACAGTCCATATTGGCCACGCGGTTGGGTTTCATGCGCTGGTTTTCAATCTGGGACGTAGACCTGGCCCAGCTGCTGTCTAGAGCAGACAACTTTGTACGGTTCCGTGGCAGCAGAGTTAAAGAATTGGCAGCGCGGAAGCATGTGATCAGTGCAGTGGCCCACGTCGTCAAAACTGTAAAAGAACGACGTGGGCCAAATTGAATTACGGCGCGTTGGTCGAAGGATGTCGAAGGACAAGTGCCGCGCGTGGAAAGGCAAAATCGTTCTTGAATTGCGCGGACGTGTTTCTGCATGTCTACGCAACGGTTCTCGACGTCATACACCACGGCCAGGCATATGCCAACGCACCCCCGGAAATTAGCACGGCCTAGGGTCAAAATGCAAGGATCGTCGTCGGAGACCTTCGCGAGTGGGGGCATGCAGCCTGGCGCAACATCACGCCCAGTCGTTTCCATTGATGGCATTGGGGCGCATGATGCCATAGCACGCACAGACATGTTGCGAGCTCTCGCAAAGGCGGAGGGGGCCAACACGTGCGTGCCCTTTGTGCATGTTTGTGCGGCAAATCTTTGCCAGCCCGTCCACATACATCTGGCACGGCCACAAGGGCCAGCTTCATGAAGTCTCTGAACCAGCGGCGGTGAACAAGAAGACCCACTCATGCCAGCCTTTTCTTCTTGGCCATGTTCGCCTTCCTCGACAACGTGTATGTGGTTGTCCCACCGCACCGAGTGCGCCCAGTGTGCGACCTCTCACAGCCATCTATACCACCACGCGCACATCCAACTCAACGTGGGCAAAGCTCGCGTGTGGAACCTCGATGAACCTCGGGGCAGGCTCCACCATACGAACTAGGGCTGATGGTCATACAACAGCCACACAGGGCGTTCCGAGCTGAGGCTTGCCAGCGGTTCGACCCACCCAACCAGGTTTTGCTCAAGTCCAAAACGCGACCACATCCCAGCTGAGCCTTCACCACCGTCCCATCGTCCCATACCATGACAACAACACCATACAACACCTACCCCACCCACCTCTTCCGCCTGCTACTCCTCAGCGCCTCCGCTTGCCATTGCCCTTACTGCCCGCTGCCGGTGCCGTCGCATTTGGACTTGTGAGGCGGCCACCAGTTTTTGCATGCGGCGGGGGAGGAAACCAAATGAGCAGCATCCCGAGTGTGCAGGGAGGCCGGGGCACGACTCACAACCAACACCCGCCTCTTGGACCTCAACGCCGGCAACATAGACCGCCACGACGATCGCAAGATAGAGGTCATAGCCAATGGCCTGCCGCGCCGGAAAGAGGGAACCTATCCTTCGCAACCACCGTGGCAAACTAGTGATGCTGGCATTGGAAACCGGCAGTCGGTGGAGTGGAGAGGCCGCTTCCTTCATTCCCACTCTCCTCCGGGACGGCTGGCGCGTGCTGCCGTGCCCAACACCCCTGGACCTTCCATTGGGGAGATCCTCACGCTCCCGGGGCCGTCCACCCCGAGCCGCCTGCTTCTGAAGCATCCTCAACAAGCCTTTGGCCATGTGCAAAGTCTCCATTAGTTTGCGTAGCCCCCCCCGTTAGCTGGCTGTCGTAATTTATGCCAAGAAAACTGACTTTGTGTTTTGTTGTGCCCACGTTTTGTTTGAATGCCTGGCGGCAGGGAACGTTTCAGTTTTTCTTTGGTCAAACTTATGCTTTGCACATTTTTTGGATGATTATGTAACCTACTCCTGCCCTTGCTTTATGGAAGTGCCTTCTCTCTTCCCACGTCAGTCCCTGCGCGACCGGCCCAACTATCAGCGGAAAACATGTATACTGTATCGATCACAAAATCTGAACAAAGATGCTCGCGCGCGCATGGTCCCAGGTCCCAACGGCGAGGTGCTGCAGATGCTGCCGCGTTTTTTGCAATTTTGCGCTTTAGTGTTTGGCCACCGCGAACAACTACCCACCCCAGTTGGTCGACAAAAACGGCGTAAAACTACCTCGCCCCGGGCTGACGGTTGAGCGTCGTATTGTAATGACCAACCGTTGGCTTTAAACATCCAAGACCTCTGGACAGAAAAATGCACGCGGCACATACAGATAGTCCACTATGTTGGAAGCACGGAATGGCCAATCCTAGGTTCAACATGCAGGTGTCAACGGGGATATATAAATATGCGACTGGACCACTGGCGAACCTTGCCAGAGCTGCAATGTTCATGCAGAGAGCTCAGGCTCAAATTCTACATCGTTGAGGTCCGGATTGGTCCTTTCTCATACTCCAACCTCCATGCAGGAAAGTTAGAACAGCAAAGTGGCAGGAACACAAAGAATTGAAACGGCGTATGGTCAGATGAAAACCTCCATGAGTGGTAGTGCCAACGGATCTCTTGCGGAACGCTGGTGCCTTGGAATTTGTTTACTCGGCGCCGTGGGCACACAAATTGGTTGCACCATTTTGCGTGGCGGTGATGAAACGTGGGGAGCCACGACATTGTGTGTCCCTACTGTATACATAAATTAGAGAAACAAAAAAACATACTGTATATATATATATACTGCAACGAATTTGTTGGACGATCTTAGCGGCGCAGATTGGGTGCCAGCCAGTTGCGAGGACTACGACTACTCAAACACCGCAGTGGTTGGAGGCCTTCAAGATGGGTGCGTGAGGTGAGCGGGATATTTTCCTATCACGATTCAACATTTCACCCGCTTCGTTTCATGATGAGCAAGCCAGCTGGCCCTAAGACGTGGGCCTGCTCAGCTTTCAAGTTTTGGTTCCTTTTCTCCAGCATTGGCTCAAGGTCTGCTAATGGACCTGCAACATGCAACTTAGCGATGGAAGTCCTTGAAGTCATCACCACAGGATATGCAACCCAGAGGTCTGGAGGAGTCAGTGAGCCAATAGTTTTAACTGATTGTGTGTGTTGTTTTGTTTTGCCGCCGCCAATCCTCGCAAAACAGTCATTGTTAATGGCGTGCACGGTGCAGCTTGAAGATGGTCGTGAGACTGCTGATTTTGCTGCTTTCGTTGCATGCGCTTTCCCTAGCCACTTGGCGATGCGTCTGGAACCTCGAGAACTTTGAGACCTTGTTTTCAGCAATTGTATACATAATGATATTTTTAAATGTGATCAGCCCGGTTTTTGCTGTAGGAATCATCATAGACACATGTTTTGGGCAAGAATTGCGAGTGAGGTTGCTGGCGACAAGAGGGGCAGTGATGGTCGGCGCCGACGCCACAACTCAAACTCCTTGGGTTCCCTGCGGCTGCAAGCGCTGCAGCCATCGCCGGTTTCCTTTGTGACTTGGCACTAGCGGTGCTTGTTGCCCAGCAGGTCCGGCCACTGTTTCCCACCACAGAAGAATGTGTGTATATATATATATAGAGTGGGTTGGAATGAGCTCCCGTGAATGCAAAGTCCTCCGTAAAGAGTTTCAGATCGTTTCACTGTTCTCTTGCAATGATTCATGCTTTTCTTGGTGAAACATGCTGCCGGGCCAAGGAAATCCGATGCTTGGCTTGGCGTTGAATCTCATGCCGAAGACCTCAGTGCCATAGTCCTCCACGTGTTCTTGGTTGTTTTCGTCTGTTGGATTCATTCTATTTCATGTCGTGCTTGCACTTTGTCAGCGCAAACGGTCACACAAATTAGCAGAATCTCCATGAACTGTCCACCCCTTGCCGTTGCCTATGCAAATGGAGGCATCATCTCCCGAATCCTGGGATCACCACTCAGAGAACTGCTGGCCTTGAATCCTAGGGCCCTAGAGACACATTTTGACTTAATACAAGCCACCAGACCTGGAATTGAAGCAAGAGTTTGGAGGGAACTTTGACGCTGCGTCGACGCCGCAGAATCGGTCTGACTGAGCCTGACTGTGGAATGAGCACAGCTCTGAGGAGATGATCAAGCTAGAGTACACACAGCATCCATTCACATCCAGAACCCCAACGATCAAGCACTGGCAGTGCAGCTTTCCTTGCGGCCGGGGCCCCATCGGGCCCCATCAGTGTCAGTGCCCAGAGCCACAGATGGACTAAGTCATCACTCTTTTTCGTAAGGCAACAATCATGATATACTGTATATCATGATCACTTCTCTCGTGAACATTACTATCAGCAGTTGCCCGTAAACGTGCCTGCTCAAAGGACGCTTCAAATAATGCCTAGGCATCCATCTACCAGAAGGTTGTCAAAGGATGGCATTGTCGTGATTCAAGGGGATTCAGAGGCGAGCACGGCAAATTTCTGCGGTTTCCATGGATTTGGTTGTGTGTACCATTGCCAAACAGACGTTCAGTTGCCAGGCTTCCGTGACTGGAAGGCGCCTTCAAGCAGCAGTTCTCAACTCAGATATTTTGCAAGATGTCCAGACACAAAGCTGTGTACGGAAAGGGTTTCAAGTCAAGCGAGCCTGTTTCTAAGAAAATCCTAGGAGAACTGCAGCCAGCCATTGCTGCTGCTACGGCCCCGCGTGAGTCAGAATATTCGCGCAACTCGGCGGCTGCGGCGTTTGGCTCAGCTCCCAGGCACCGTCGAAATGTTTTAAGAAAATGACTTTAAGGAACCTAATACTCGTAGCGATGGCCTCCAACCTAATAGCAATGGCCTCCAACCTAGAAGCGATGGCCTCCAACCTAATAGCAATGGCCTCCAACCTAGTAGCAATGGCCTCCAACCTAAGAGCGATGGCCTCCAAACACGAAGATCGTTGCAACATGCATCATGTCAGTAAGATGTGCTGGTATGTGCGCATGTGCGAGTATCGTATGTGTTCACGTGCACATGCAAAACGCCTACATTTTTCATTGTGCTATAACTTAATGTTCAAGATGCGTCTTTCAAACTGCCGGTCGCCGGAGGTTCTTGTAATCTCGTTGGCTCATCCACGGCCTTACACGCAGGACTGGAGAATAGCACTTGGCTATACCTCAGCCATTTGGGGCTGAGCATCGCACAGCTAGATTGCGCTGCAAACGCGGAAGAGGTGGCGAAGCAGCTTGAAAGCGAACATGCAGGCGCGAAAAACCGGTCACCTGCTCGTGCTTGAAATTCCTCGGTCACCTACCGTTTCGAAACGTGATGCGATGAGGTGAAGTGGAATTCGTGGAGGTGGACAAGAGAAACCTGTTTAAGATGGGCGTCACAGATACACAATGGAGTCGTCAATGGGGCATGAGGAGAAGTGGCTTCGATAATGCATGGTCTCGTTTGGATGCTTACAGTTTTGAACCTGACCCAGTGACAGTTGCTGTCTTGGACACTGGCGTGCAGCTAGATCACGAAGACTTGCAAGGTAGGCTTTGGCAAAATCCAGGTGAGATACCAGGAAATGGCATCTTGGCAAATGGCATCTTGTGAATCTTTCGAGTTTACATGTTCGATTCTTTTTGTGCAGGGGTCTGCTTACTTTTTGTGTTTGTGTATGTCTGTGTTTGGCCTTGCTGTCACCTGTCCCAGGCATCGATGACGACGGGAATGGCTTCATTGACGATGTGCATGGCTGGGATTTTGCGGATGGAGATGCCGATCCTTCCGATGACGATGGTCATGGAACGCACTGTGCAGGCGTCATCGGTGCCGCGAAGAATGGCAGGGGCGTGGTTGGCGCCTTTGGAGGCAGTTCTTCTGTACGAATCATGGCACTCCGTTTCCTCTCCAGTGAGGGAGGCCGCACCAGCGATGCAATCCTTGCACTGAACTATGCGGTGTCCATGGGTGCCGTGATTTCCTCGAACAGCTGGGGCTAGGATCTCAGTTTCTCTCACTCTCTCTCTCTCTCTCTTTTTTTTGTGCTTTTGCATTGCTTGTCCTGAGGCGGAGCATCTCACAGCTTGGCGCTGGAGTCTGCGGTGCAGAGTGCTAAGGAAGGTGGGCACTTGTTCATTGCAGCTGCAGGGAATATGGGCAGCAGCATCCTGGCATTTTTCAGGCTTCAGATCACATCCTTTCAGATTAGACTTGCGCAAGCTTTGGCCACGGTACCAATAGTCCCCACAGAGTCATGGCAATCAGGGCCCTGCCTCCAAAGCTGAGGCAACGACTTCGTCCCGACGTTTCCTTGCAACTACGAAGCTGCTCTTTGTGTTGCTGCGACCACCTCCACAGAAGAATTGGCCGACTACAGCAACTACGGTGTGAATTCTGTGGAGATTGCTGCGCCAGGCAGGCAGCAGCAAGCATTGAAACAACCTCCTGTTGGGGAACCTAGCGCACCTAACAAGCTGAGGTCCTATCGTTTTGGGGAATGGATTTGATAGGAGCTCGTCAAGACAGTAAGAAGACATTTCCACGCTGAACCCGGTGTTGCCTGGGGGATCCGATTTTTTGTGCGTGATGCATCAAATTGCGACTAAAGTAGGGACATAAGTTAGTGACAGGCCACGCATAACAGCCATTGGACAAACATAAGAATCACAGGGTTTCTGGACGAACCTCAGAATCCACTTTGTGGGATAGGATGCAGTTGGGTGTTCAACATTTTGCAAAGAACAGCAGTCAAGAGTCAAGATTCTTCCCAATTTTTGCGATGGCCTTCTAAGCTCGCCATGCAATTTTCAAGCATTTTCTTTTTACTTGTTGTGCTTTCTCTCTTCTGTGATCCTCTTTGCGTTTGGTGCTCTGAAGGCCTTAATGCCTTAAAATTTCCCAGGCGCCAGGTGCCAGCGTTGTGGGGTAATCAACAACCTGACATACAGCGATCCGGGGTTACTCATAGACCGGGACGTTGAGGGCCAGGACATGACGGCAAGTTGCCGTGCGAAAGGGGTGTGACCTCAAGGGCACTTGGGGCAATCAATCTTGGAGCACATGGTGGCAAATGACCTACAGTGGCCATGGCACCCAATAGACCTTGGCCAGGTTCGTGGCTCACTTGCGGCTTTGTTGGAGTTGAAAGTGCTAGAGGGAGATTGTGACCCCATACCAAGAAACTCATTTTCCGAACTAGTGTGTGCATGATGGGCTGACCAAGTCGACTAGGTGAATTCCACGCACACACACACACACACACACACACACACACACACGCACGTCACACGCGCACACGCACACACACACACACACATATATATATATATATACATGAATCACATGGACTTTCCTCACAGATTCACAGAGTGCCAATCCCAGATTCACACTCTGCCAGTTCCCGTGAAGGCACTGACATCATGAGTACCTACATCGGAAACAGCTATGCATCTTTAAGTGGCACCTCGATGGCGACGCCACACGTGGCTGGTGCAGCTGCTCTGGTTTGGAGCTGGATGGGGCAGCGCTTTGTCAGTGATGCGGCTGGGGACCTGCGGGCCATCATCTTGGAGTCGGCTCAGCGGCCATCTTTTCTGAATGGCTGGGTGAGCCATGGCATGTTGGATGTGAATGGCATGGTCTTAAAGGCAGAGTCAGGGTGGAAGAAAAGCACCACGATGATTGACATAGTAGCCGCATACCGAGGCTTTCTGTACGCAGGTTGACATGGAGAGTTACAGTAGAGGGATAATTTATACATATATATATATAATTATATATATTTTTAAAATATGCTGACAGTCTGACATATGCTTTCAAGAGTTGACATGCTCGCCGGGATGGTCAGGCAGAGTCACGAAACTGGCTGCGCCTTCTACAGCCTCCAAATGGCTCGGTGGACGCCACAGGTACCATTGCCTCCGTTCTGTTGGATGCGCTCGGTGAGGTGAACACCAGTCTCGAGATCGGTCATGAGTTCTTGGCCGTTGGCACTTATGAAGCCCACATACTCATCAGTGGGAGTGACCACGAGGACGAGGACGAGGCGGTGGTTCCGGTCCAGCTGACGATTCTGGGATCTCCTTATTTACCAGCAGGGATCTTCCAAGGGATGTTGGACTTCGGTGTGGTGCCCTTGGGGGGCGAGGGCCGTCGAACTATTCGGCTGTGGAACTATGGCAATGGCACAGCGCGGGTGAAGCTGAACCCGCTGGCTTCTCCGTTTGCTGGCCCCTTGGTGGAGGCGGGCTTGAAACGTTGGCAAGACTTGATGACACTTTAAGGACACTAGGGGGTTGATGTCTGGCCTAGCCTCTTTAAAATCATGCGCTCACGGCCGGCAGGGTGACTTGGAGCACTGGAGTAGCTAGACTAGCATAAACTACTGGTATCAGGAGGCATGGAATTCAGATCTGGACTCCATGTGAGGCAATGCCCGGACACAGCCTGGTTGGAAGTCCGAAGCATGACTTGTTTCAGAGCTTGTTTGGTGCCAGCTGGTTGCGACAGGTGTCAGTGGAGCCTCACGAATCGATGGATTTGATCGTGACCTGCCGCCCCACCCGCACGGGGCAGTTTGCCGGGAACGCGAGCTTTGGCACCAACTCTGGGCTTCCAGCTGTCGAGGTTTGGATGAAAAGGTTTCGACTTGGGAGAGATCCTGAAAGATCCTGAAACAGAGATCCGGAAACGACGAAGAACACCACCCGAAAAGGAAGATCTCTTCCAGACCTCCCAGACAGCCAGACAGCCCTTGCGGTGTTGATTTGCCAGGCCTCATTGGCCGATGCCACGGAGAAGGGGGAGCAGTTCTCCATGGCTATGAGCTGCAAAGGTAGCGAAGCACCACATTTGGAATTGGATTCTTTCAGTTCCTCAGCAAACTAGAGGATACTTTTGGACTTCAGGGCTTAAACAGATACAGTAGGCATGTCAATGCATGTCATGATGTTGTGTTTAAAGATGTCTAGAGATATGCCTATAGTCTAGTCATATCTATATAGACTACTTGAAGTATTGTTGCCGTTCTCGAGGTCCCGTACCTCCACCCCATCTCCACTTCTCCACTTCTAACCTCGGCCTCAGGTGGTGCCGTCCTTCTGCAAGCAGATGGCCTGCCTTTCCACTTCACGCCATGCGTGCCAGCGCAATGGGAGGCTAACTTTCTGGACGCCCAGTCACCCGACACGAACGTCACAGCGCCCCTGGCAGTGGTGGAAAGCTCCAACCTAGAAGGACTGGCCGGTCTTGCTGTTGACTGCGGGAGAATTGGCCTGGTCTAGTCCATACGAAACAAAGAAGACCTATCATGAAAATCCTTGAGCTCATGTTCATCAAGTTCTTTGATGCTGTTGTGTGGCTTTCATTGTTTGTACACGCATTGTGCACATATGTATGCACCTTGTTTGGGAGGTGTAGGGATCCTAATTCGGAGAAACACTATGACACAAGCTCTTGTTGACACTGGGACAGTTGCATCTGAGAGGTAACCAAGGCTCCTTGCTAATTGTTCTTCTTGCAGGTTGCCTGCCACATCAGACGACGGTGGCTGGACATATTGTGCTGGTGAGCCGAGGTGGCTGCACCTTTCAAGAGAAGATCACCCTGATTCAGGAGTGCCTGGCAGTAAGCAACATTCACCCTGGAAGAACTTGTCCTTCCTCACGTGAAACCTTCACGGTTCAGACGCACGCAGCCTGGCCAGGACGCTGGTGGACTTGGAGGCCTCTACTATGACACAGCTCTTGGGCAAAGAGTTCATTCAGCATTTACTTACCCTTGGGCAAATATGTGATTTTTCCGGCGGGTTTGCACTTTGTCGTGCTTTCCTTCGCATTCCGAAGGGTTAGTTAGTAGATGTTAGTAGTTTCTCCATTTTGCCCTGCCCATGTCTGAGGAGGGGACCACCACCCTGCGGATGATGGGCACTGCAGACGTCAACAATGCCCCCACACTTCCCGCATTCATGGTCTCTCGCTCGCAGGGTCTTGCGCTGCGAGATCGGGTCCTGTGCCTTTGGCAGCAGGAGAGAGTCACACCTTTACAGCAAGTCAAGCACATTCAAGCACTTCGCAAGAACCTTTCCAAATGTTCTCTCGCTTGCAAGACTTGGAATCCAGAGCAGTTGATACAAGAAGAGCAGGCTTTGCTTGCCCTCGGTATGATAGTGTTGGACTCCAATGGTTCGTTTCTTCCCAATTGAGACATCCAGCAAGGTCCGGTGAAGTGCTCATGATTTCGTTGATCAGGCGAGCTTGTCGTTTTGTTGAGTGGTGTTTTGTTGAGTGGGTTTTGGGAATGAGAAGTGCATCATTGATCGATTTTGGGCCACTAGTACTCACTGTATTTCAATTTACAGTATTATTTGCATTATCGCATCACCGTGACTATTGTAGTGGCCCAATATGTTGCACCGTTGTGGGGCAGTCTTGAACAACATGCAGTGGCTTGCAGGAGTAGTTCAACACAAATTATCGTCGATTATCACGTACTGTATGCTTGTATATATTATATATATAGCGCTGAAGTTTGGTTTTGCATTAGACACTTGAAAAGGTTGGCTTTTGCATCACTGAGGCGTCCAATTGTGCTGCACACTCATCTGCCTGGTGAGGGTTCTCCGCGGGCCTATGGACAGCTAGGATGGACATGGCTGTTGCACATGCCAAAGCTGCTTCACATCATGTCATGATTGATGTATTTTTTACTTTTTTGTTTGTGTATGCGCGAAGTCAGAGAGTGTATACATGCATATCATTTATTAGGCCGCATATTGCTTATGAAATGGCAGATGCGTGACGTGCTAGTCTCATCAGCATGCTGCAGCAGGAATAGGTGATTGGTATCGTTTGGCTTAAGCATACCTTGCAGGTGCTTGGGTTGCCACCACGTACAGCATCATGATTCAATACTCAACATGCTGTAGCAGGAATGCAAAACCTTGGTGGTGGCTTGCTCCACTGGAGCACTGAAATCGACATGCTGCTACCCGGCTCAAAATTGGTTGGCATATGTTGGCATCGCTACTAGGAGCAAGAAGCTACTAGTAGCTCCTGGCATTATTACTAGGAACAAGAAGCTACTAGTAACTAGGGCACCGCTACTAGTAACAAGGACATTATTACTAGTAACTTCTAGCTAATAGCGTGGTGGGCACATTCCGAATTCGACGCGGACGAGGAGGTGCGGTTGTCAATGGTTGTCGCTTTGACGGAGTTGCATTGAGATACAGCAATGCGATAGTGATGACTAAGGACGTTCGAGGAACACAGCTTCTACTCTGTTGTGTATCCTGGAGCAGCCAATTCAACAGCTGGCCCGGTTCTCAAAGATGTTGGAACCTTGTAGTTCTTTTTTGATCCTACCGTATACCCATCATTTGCACAGAACTAAGGGCACAATGGCAACAACTTACAACATGCAACAACTGAACTATTGATTGATTTGAGTCTATTGCTGATGTGAATGCTTTCCGCGTATTGCGCGAAGCGGGGCCTTAGAGCCACGATCCAGGTCCAGATGTAGCGCCATTGCCGCCAGCACCTGTGCCATCGTGGACTGAAAGTAGCATGCTGACAGAGGATGCGTATTTCAGAAATAAGGACCAACAGTTGAGTCGGGTCTTGGAAGCTCAGTTGAGTGGATGTCACCAAGCAAAGCTAGGTCATGGTAGATATCTCTGAACTGCGGTCAGACAGGACATTGATGATGACGCATCACCATTGGCGCTGACCTTTCCAATGCCTTTCTATGGGCAAGTTGTCCAGGACAAGAATACGCATTGTGGAGTCGCAAGACCCGAAGCTGCTTGTTGGCGGACAGATCTTGAGACTTCTAAGACACAAAAAACACTTCCCAAACATCTTGCGGAGATTTTCAAGTTTGGAGCAGCACTTTACATTAACTTTGTTCCAGTTCTTTGCGACTTTGCTGAACTGTTGGGCGCATGAACTCACAGAACAAGTGCTGATGTGTGGCAGGATGTTCAAATGTCATCGAATGGTTTGATTGCAATGGCACCGGACAGCAGCACATTCCGAAAAGGCCAGCTTGGACTCGCCTTTTGATGAGTCGTCCTGTGTCCCCGAACTGCCTCAGAAGTGGTGCAGGCAGTGACTACTGGGGACACCTGCCCTCAGAAGCACTTCCCAACGGCCTTCTGGCAGCCTATTGGAATGATCTTCGCTGCAGTGCTAGCCATGGATGCCGACTGATGACAGGTGGAGCTGTGACAGAGATGCCAGCTTGAGCGTAGAGTGGTGTCGAAGCTTTGTCACCTCTCATGTGCGCCAGGTCACCGCTTTGCTCAAAACGAAGCCGGATCCTGTGGCAATAGCAATGCGACCATCATCCAATATAAGGATACGGCACATGATGGGTTTGGTGGGCTTGCCTAGAGGTTCTTGCACAGGGACCGTTGAGTTTGTGTGCCCTCCTGGTGTCATTGACGGAGCACGTGGCAGAAGGTTCCAGACTCCAAGCATCACTCGCAGCAGGGTTGTTCTGACGGGTTGTTCGCGCGCCAGGACTTTGTTCATCGATATGACATGTCTGCGGTGGTCTCCGTGGAAGCGCGACTCTATGCCGACGGATGCATGGAGTTGCAGTACGACCGCATACCGGGGCAGGAACATCGAAGTGCAGCGAAGATTGGCATTGAGACCAGGAGTGGGCAACTGGACTTGCAAAAGGCTCCACATGCTGAAGGGATTCGCAGCGATGCGTGTTTTTATCAGATTATTTTTTGCTGGAATTTGCTTCAATCAAGTCCGCAAAGCTTGCGTTGAAGGCAATATGGTCTAGAAGATTTAGTAGGAAGGGGCTTCAAATCCCAGTGAAGCAGCTGCACTGGTTCCCCCGCTGATGGATATTGAATATTGTTTTTTTTTGTGTGGCAATGCCGGATGAATTGAGTTGAACGCTTGAGCAAACGGAGTTTGTGTACTGCCCTCGTGTCGCACTGCTTGCTGACAGCCTGAGACTAGAGGCACCTGGTTTCACTGTTTGAGGCGAAGTGGGTTGAATTTGGCGCCGGTGCTGCCCGTCAACCGTGATGAACGATTTGGAATCATGTTTGTGCCATTCCTTGCAGCAGACCCAAGGACCCGTGGAGACAGTGAAGGCTTTCTTGGTTTCAATGTCTCCCCAATCTGCACATCTGCGCAGACCACAGTTTCGGAAGTTCCGCCAACGCAGGAGACCAAGCACCGCTGCCGTGAAGCCTGGAGAGACCTCTGATTTTCACTTTCATGTGGAGGGCTACCGTTCCAAGCAGGCCTGGATTATGGTGAGGGCTTCGGATGGGACAGGCCACTGGAACTCCGAACGCTCTTTGGCTGCACACTGCAGGGCTGTCGGGGAGACTGGGCTTGAGTTTGGGCCGTGCGCTTGCGTGCGCCCCAAGAAGTGGACATTGTGAGGTGTGGTGCGGGTGGTCCAGCAAGTCTTCAGCTACTCTTGGAAGTTCAGTGTCTCTTGGCGCAGAGTTGGAGCAAGCAACAGCACTTTGAGCTGATTTTGAAAGCTGAGGCATGGGGTCCGTGCACCAAGTTGGTCTGCAGCAGTAGCGTGGGTGAAGAGGGTCGAACTGTATACTGTGGCGGTTCTGATGGCGGCGTCTATGACGGTGCTCCAGCCTGAAGATTTTGGACCTCCGTTTTGTGAGAGCGCAGTAACATCAAGAGTGAAACTTAAATTGAAAAGAGACACTGGGGCAGATAGGAGCTTTAAAGGCAGAGGAAGAGAGAGCGAGAGAAAGACCTGCCAGAGTTTTGCCTTCTTGTGCGAACAGTGTGCCCCTGAGTTGAACATTGCTCCGGCCCACCTACGTGCACTGACACTCCCGGGTGGAGAGACAGTTATGGTGACACTTGCCAGACCTACGCTACAAATTTGTATTGCACTGCTGAGGGTGCCGCACTTATGGTGGTGGCTCCACATTTTCGGTAGTGCAGTGTCAGTTTCATTCCGGACTTAACATGCATCCGTTCCACTGTGTGTCTGGAGTCTGAAGGGCTTTTTGGGCCTTCAATTATATATAGTCCTCCTTCATACCATGCCTGAGGTGGCTATGGTCCTGGATGGAAATGGTTCTGGGGCTCCTTCGAAGACTACCGGCGCAATGGGCACATCGCGCCTACCGCATGCTGTGCCTGCGGCGGTGGAGCGTTGGTCGACTCGCAGCCAGAATCTGTAAGAGCATGTTCTGAGCCCACGCAGGGACCAGATTTGAACGGCGATGGTGTCGACGATTGTGCTCCTGCGATAGCACCACCGGCACCAGTCACAGAGACCACAACGGAGACCAGCAGTACTGCAACTCAGACAACTGAAACGACGACGACGCAAACTGCCACATCAGCGACTCAAACATCCTCGACGTCGCAAACTGGTACAATCACGAGTGTCACCCAGACAAGCTCCACAGACACACAGACTTCAAGAACAACTTCCAGCACGTCCACAGCAACCTGGTCTTCCACTAGTGTGACGCAAACGATCACAACGACCGCCACAGTTACGGCAACACTGACATCAACACTCACAACAACTCTCACCACTCGGACAACTACAGTGACGTCAACAGCTACCTCATCGTGGACCAGGACCTCTTCATCTCAAACCAGCACTATTTCCTCAAGTGCAACTCGCACTGAAACCACAACAGGCTCTACAACAGCAACCATCACCTCAACCTCCATCTCACTCACAAGCACAACGGCCACCTTGACGAGCACTGCGAGCTTGACGTCCACAAGCATATCAGGCACGAGAAGTTCAACGATTTCAACGACAACACAATCTTCAACCTTGAGTTCAACCATCAGCAGCACTGCTTCCAGCACTACATCCTCTAGTACAACTGCTTCAAGCACCTTGACTGCAACGTCTACTCTCACGACCACGTCGACCACTGAATCAGACACTGTCACTTCTACCGGCACGACTTCTACAAGCCTTTCCTTTACAGCCACCACAACAACAAGTTCAACTACAAGTTCATCAACTGGTACAGAAACAACTCGCACTATCACCTCGTCTGGAACTCAGACTTCCACCCTGACGTCTTCAGAAACCAGCACAACAATCTCAACCTCCATCTCCTCCACGAAGACCAGCACTGTGACCAGCACCAGTGTATCTCGCACAGCCACGACGTCAGTGACTACCACTAGTAGCTCACAGTCAAGCACATCGGTCACCTCGACACAAACAACGTCCAGTCTGACTGTAACTTTGACTAGCACCACCTCATTATCAAGCAGTTCAACGACAACGATCACAGTTTCAAGCACAACCTCGATCACCACCACAACTGTGACAAAGACGACAAGCTCTACAACAAGCAGCACCTCAACTAGAAGCACGAGCATCAGCTCCACAACAACAAGCACCAAGTCAAGCACTGCGACAAGCAGCTCTTCAACGACGTCAACTTCGAGCAGCACAGTCACCTGGACAACCACAGTCACCACCACTACAAGTTTGACAAGCAGTAGCAACACCATGAGTTCTACGCACACTTCTACGAAAACCATCACGACCACAACAAGCTCTTCAGTGACAACGTCTAGGAGCAGCACTAGCACGCTTTCTTCAACTGTCACAACTACCACCAGCTCAACTTCCAGTAGCACCAGTACAAGCGTCACTTCTACAGACACAAGCACTACGTCACAGACGTCCAGCACTACGTCCAGTAGCACGTCCAGCTCCACAAGCACAAGCACGGAGTCGTCCACCAGCAAGACATCGAGCACATCCCGAAGCAGTAGCAGTTCAACAAGTGTCACAGTCACTCACACTGATACATCCACAACAACTGGCACTTCTTCAGTGACAGTTTCATCCACCACATCTTCATCGAGCACATCTTCTTCCAGCACCTCATCCTCAAGCCTTTCTTCTAGCAGCTCGTCGGTTTCCAGTACTGTCTCCTCCTCGACGAGTCTTTCAACATCATCCTCTAGCACCACATCGACATCATCCAGTTCAATCACAACTTCAAGTACGACTACCACAAGCTTTACATCCAGCTCACTGACAATGACGTCAAGCAGCAGCACCAGCAGCAGCTCCAGTTCATCCTCTCTCACCTCAACAACAACCTCTGCCTCATCATCAACATCTTCATCAACCAGCACAAGCACCAGCACCACCAGAACCAGCACAAGCAAGACCGGCACAACCAGCAGCAGCACTACCAGCACCAGCACTTCCAGCAGCAGTACTGCTTCTACAACCTCAAAGACGACAACGACTTCCACCACCACGACTAGCACCTCTAGCACTAGCACAGCTACCTCTACCAGTACAACTGTCACAACATCAACAAGCTCCACCACAACATCCACGAGCATCTCCTCTACGATCTCGACGTCTACCAGCAGCTCGTTCACATCTACATCCAAGACTTTCACTTCGTCCACGTCTGGCACAACAAGCATCACTACAACCTTATCCAGCTCCACGACGTTGTCAACGACGTCCACAAGCGTTACCACTTCAACAAGCAAAACACTGACATCGACCAAGACTTCATCAACCAGCTCGTCATTCACCAGCACGACGTCACAGACCAGCACTTTGGCTGCTGTGGAGTGTTGAAAGGCCTTGCATGTGAAGTCATATATGTTTGGCGGTAATTTGCTGTTGTTCTACTGGGTTCCACAGCGCTTCACAGCATGGGCACTTGGCCTTCAGGATGTCCATTAGAGTTGACAAGAGATGGATAGCTTGGCCCAGGTAGCTCTTCCCTGACTTCCTCCAGCAGCTCCAGCAGCAGCTCCACTTCCGGAACCACGACCTCCATGACCAGCTCGACCCACACGGCACGCAGTCTGAAGGAAGCAGTTGGACCCTAAAGTGATGTATGATGTATATATAAATATATATATCGATATACATAAGTATATTGATGTATATACATAATAGTTATACGTATATACATATATGCACACACACACATATATATATATATGATAATAGGTAAGAGAGTAGCAGCAAGAGATAGGGAGAGAGAGAGAGGGATATATATATATATATACTGCATAGATATTGTATTTTCATTGTGTTCAGGCGAGACTTTTTGTCAAACTTCTGGTCTGATACCGGGTTTGGAAGAATTCTGTGCTGAGGCCACAGTCACCAGCAGTTCAACCACAAGCTCCTCAACAATTTCCGACACAACGACCATTAGCGTCACAGGGACGAGCAGCACCACAGCCACAGTGACCAGGACATCTCAGACCTTAAGCTCTACAACTTCGATTTCCAAGACCTGGACGTCTACTTCCTTCACAGAAACCACATCCACACAAACCAGGCCGGGGTGCCGAGGAAAGTTTATGAGGTTCAAACAGCTAGCAGTTAAATGCCGGCAAGCTATCGAGCTGTGTGGAACTGCTTTCAGGAATGGGCCTCCGGTGCAGATCCTGAGTGAGCCAGAAGATGTGATGACGATCGACTCGACCTTGCTTGTGCTGGGGGTCAATGACACAACGTGTCTTGGGTGCAACTTCGGGTGCTTGACTAGCAGGGTCTACCATTTTTGTTCGACGGACATCTAGGATGCCTTTCAACCTAGGCCTGGTTTGGAGGATTCTTTGCAAGACTCCATTTCCAGCACTGTGGGCGTCGACCCAAGAAGCGACTTAGTGCAGTTTGGATCTCTGTTTGGTTGAGCGGCCGTTTGGTGTCCCTGCCCGTTGTATGGGCACACAAGTTCTTCAAGGAGTGTGCAACAAGAAAAGTCAACCTTCCCTGCCCCAATAGATAGGCGAACCAACTCCCTTCCTTCGATGCAAGCAATTCATTGGGATCAAGCCGTGATCCAACTGCAAAATGGGCTGCAATACAACGAGCCGTAGCTACCTCAAACTTTGCCTGCCACTGACTCACTGACTGCCAGCTCAGGAGTTGCAATTTCAGGCCGAGACGACGGGTTGCTTTGAGTTGGAGTGGGTGCTCGGGTCGTGTCGCATTGTAGGCACCTGCACCAGGGCGGGCAATGTGATTTCCTGCATATATATGCACTTGAAGACATGTTTTCCTTTTCGTTTTGGCTATGCTTGTCAGATCTTGGTATGACGCTGGCGGCAGTGCTGGATGATGGGCTTCGCCGTCGGTTGTCCATGATGGAATTGGCTCTGGAAGTGAATTTTCAGGTCATCCTGACAGGCCTCCGAGCCAATTTGAGCAAACGGCGCTTGTGGATCAAGACGTTAGGGGTGTTTCAGTTAGTGTTTCGTGAATGTGTACAAATGAAACGCAATGCCAGGCTTGCGTGCCTATTTCAAGAATTGGGTTTCCTTGCAAATGTCTGCCAGGCGAAAGCGAGTCTTCAGAACTTGGCTCCTCTTCGGCTGCAAGTGTACTAAGTGCTGTTTCTGCTATAAAGGACAGAATGTAAGCTGGCTGCCCTGGCTCTCCAAAGACGCAACGAACAGCTCATTTCCAGAAGCGCTAGGAAGGCAGCAGAACAGAGTAGCAATGTGTTGTCGGTGTGTTTGGAGAGTGCCAGGACGACCCATCTGCTTTGGTCTCGAAGCTCTCCAACACCTTAGCTGTTGAAACTCCATTGCGTGCACGGCTCACGACGCCGAAACTGCAGCAGAAGCAGGCGAAGCGTGCGTGCAGTGTAATGTTGGATTCTGTCTTGGGGATCGGCATCACACACTGGTTTTGTGCGATTGATTTGGTTCGGAAAAATCTTTCGCACAGATCGGTGACCGTTTCGATGTTTGGCGTTGCGGGGCACTTCGTAGCACCGGTTCCAGGCTGTCATTGTGGCGGAGGAGTGGGGCACATGTGGGCCTGGCCTAACGTGTGCGCGCTCAGAGCAGCTGTTGTTGCGATATCGGGCTGTGTGGTGCGCTGACGCAGTGGCTTGACGCAGAGTGCAGGCTGGTAGGATATGCAAGCAGCAATTGAAGCTGTTTTGAATAGATCACACGACAGTAGAATAAGCATACAAAATCAAGTCTAGAGTCTAGAGCAGCCTAAGCAAGCGGGAAAGCATTGTGCAATGCATTTGCGCACATGTTCTCCAAGCCGTGCGATGTCCTAAGGAGAACATCTCTGTCCAGCTGTCCTCGGCTATGTGCTCTGGCAACGCCCCCAGGCAGAGTGACAGCATGAGACATCCAGTGCGGCACGGTGAAAGAGAAGGGGGCAGTCCAGCTTTCCTTGGGGAGTCTCAAGTTCAGAGGTTCAAGATTCAAACCATTTTCAGTTTACAGTCCCTGGGATCATGATCTGAAGCATCCAATGCCTGCCCTGGCTGTTTCAAGAACTATGACTCCCAAAACCCCTAACCTCATCAGAAAGACTGGTACTTGTTACAGTCTTTCAGCTGCTCGTTTCACCAGGACCATGGAGCCGTGCCCAGACACCGTGACGCATCCTCCAAGCTGTGGTTGGCACCTGGGCTCGTGGTCCGAGTGCCGCTCACAGGCGCAGCGCAGTCCGGAACGTGTCGCCGGACGCGTCTCCTCCGGTTTGGGTGATTCGGAGGCGGATCGGCCTCCAAGGAAAGACTTTCGAATCGTGGCGTTTCCGAAAGATGTTCCTTTTGTGTCAGGCTCTGTGTCAGGTCTTTTTATCTTCAATGCTCATGCATGTGTGTGAGTCCATACTGTGTGAGTCCTGCATTGCATTGGTTCAACCATGTGAACTGGAAGGTCTCAGACAAGAACAGCACCGATGTGGTGGACAACATGACGACACCTTGCGACAGCAGTGGCATAGGCCATCAGCAGCGGGAGGTGAGATGTCTAGCCCAGGACCCAGCGATAGATTGTGGCAATCCGCCAGAAAGAGAAAGAGAGTGTCAATGCATCTCGAGCCAGCTGCAACTGCAAAGGGATCACCTCCAGCAGGAAACGGCACAAGTCCTGGCTGCCTCTCCTGGACCCCTCCTGATAGGACTCATTGCTGGAGGCTGCATTGCATGCACCTGCTGTGCCTTTTGCTGCTTCAGTATGGTGAAGGGAAACCAGAGCACAGTGAAAAAGCTTGACAAGAGCACGTTGCAAGACTTTGATGGCCCAGCTGCAGAGCCAAAGCGCCCAGATGCACCCCAAAGTGCTGTGACAGTATGTGTGGCTGCAGGGCGTCGGAGCCGCGATGGTGAGGAGAGGCCGGAGTCTCCGGAGGATGGCGATTCGACTGTTGCTTGCAGCGTGCAATCACCTCTTCCGTCTCCTTCACATGCTCCAAGCTACCAGTCGCGTGTCACTCCGCTGGCTTCGCCTTGTTCCATTGCATCAGTGTCATCTCAACCAATACAGCTTCCACTGCCATCACCTTCCGCCATGTCCGTCTCTTCCATCAATGCTGTTTTGCAGTCGCCGGCACATTCTATGCAAGGCTCGGGCTCACCTGACACGATGCTAGACGGCTTGGAATTCTCTCCGAGGCGTCGGTCAAATGGGCCTAGTTCCCCGAAAAAGAGGTCCGGACCTAGTGGACCCTCTCTGCCGGTGCTGTCAGAACACCAATCGATTCAAGGCGCAGTTGAAAGTGAGACAGCTCTGTTTGCGGCTCTCAGCTCTCCGAGCAACTTCTTGAGACCAGCATCCCCCAGCAAGCTGAGGGCGGCTTCCCTACCTCCAGTCGCCGAAGTGGAGAAGCAGCGTGACCCGCCTTTGCCAAGCCAAGCACAAAGCGACAGTGAAGGGCATAACTCAGTGAACACGCAGAAGCAACGGAAAAAGAAAGGTCCTCGGCCACCCACCCTGGAATTGGATCGCTATCTTGAAGATGAAGCACCTTTGCACTCGGAGCAGGAAGATGTTGAAGTGAACTATGCCACATCACCTTCGAAGTCTCCAAGCAAGCGCAATGCCAGCCATGCTTTTGCACCAGCTTGGCTGAGGGATGATGGTGAGGCATGTGGCGGTGGCACTCCTTCCCATGCCGAGAGGTGTGGAGCGGGTGGGGAGAAGCAGCGACTAGAGTCTACTAGTTACTAGAGGCTGTTGGCACATACTGCATGACAACATCAGCAGGGCTGATATTTAGCTATCGTATTTTGCCCAAGCGTGCTTTGTGCACCTGCCGCAAGACCTAACTGGAGATTTGAATGTTGTCAGAACCAGCCAAAAATTCCAAGACAGGACGGCAACATGTCAAAACAAAGAGAAATCACCATTTTCTCCGCCCCATTGGCTGCCAGGTTCGAGCTGAAGTCGATGCCTCCACAGCCACTCCTCCCACAACCGCCAACTCCCGGTGGAACGATACCGCCACCACCAATTCCGAAGAACCCGGAGCCACCATCGCAAGCTCCACAAGGCACGGCTGGGCTTGTTGGATTTGCTTGCTGTTTTGGCATTCGGCTTCCCATTCCCATCATCATGTCAAAAGAAATCGGAGTTGGATGAGGGTTTGAGCCTTCCCATTGGCCGATAGGACCTGGGTGTGGTCCATGAGGTTCCTGTCTAATTTCTATTGAACAAAACCTTGGCAGCTTCATCTTCGCAGTTTCAACAAGGCCTTCGTCGTGGCAATTCCAAAGTGGATTTCCCCAGTGTGCCACCATCGCCAAGCACCAAGAGCACACCAGTTGCACAGGTGCCCAGACTTTGCAGTTTGACTGACCGAGCGTTGCTGAAACAACCTTTCGTGGGAAAGAGCTAGTAGCTAGAAGCTACTAGTACCCTTGAATTCAGCCATGGTTTCTCGAGGAATTGTCTGAGTCGGCCTTGCCATCAGCCCCAAATCTGCCTCCACCTCCGAGGTGCGGCGCTTGCTTGGTGAAAAGATTGGGACACATCCATATGAAATGTGCGAGACTGACTTAGATTTTTTAGGTGCCTAAACAGTCCAGTCCTAGTGTCAATAGGTGCCTAAACGGATCTAAACGGTGGTCTTTTGGGGGGGCCCAAACAGGGAGGGGCATGGAGCTACAGGGATTTCCGCAAACAGTTGCTTGCCAGTCTTGCGATCACTTCATTGGACCCTTCAGGTTGGCCTCTCGCGAATCTGAAGTGTTCTCAGTGTTCTCGCTCTGAAGCGTGGACGGCCATGCTCCACCCTCAATTCCGAACGCGCTGAGTGAGAATTTGTCACACGGGTAGGTGATGGTAGGTGAAAACCTTGTGTGTCGAGGAATTGGGTGGTGTGATGCAGATATGTCAAACCAACAGTGAGAGGTTGATATTCAACGTTTTTACCAGGTACGTTTAGGGCTAGGGCATTGGCATGGATGGCTGCTCTTGTGACCGATCTAGCATGGAGCAGAGCAATTTTAGTTGACCTCGCTCGTTTTGTATTCGGCTCCATTTGAGTACCATCCATGCCCACCACGGCAAAGAGAATCTCCTAAGGAGATGCTTAGTAGTTAGATCTTTAGACCGTTACGAAGCCCCTCTCAAGGAGGGTCGACGCTCTTCTTTCTTTCTGAAAGAGGGGCGACAAAGCGTCACCGGAGCATTATATCGATGCAGCGTTGATCTTGGAAGCCATCTGAGCTGTCATGTTCTGGCCGTATCTCTGCCACAACACGTCAAGTGGAGCTCTTTGGAATGGATGGAAAGATGAAATACAAGCACACGATATGCTTTCCGCATCATGCATCGAAAGCCAGCACTACATGGAGGGCAATTTTCCTGCTCCCGCCCTCTGGGGTGCCTCTTTTTGCATGTCCAAGTCTTGACCATTCCACCCTACAGATGAGTATGGGTCAGCAGCCTGTGACCTTGCCTTACACAAACCTGCAGAGATTGCAAGTGCTTAGGATTGCTTAGGTGGTCAAAGCTGGACCTGTCGTGCCAAGCTCCTGCGGAGGGACAATCACACAAATGCGAGCAGAATGCATCCACCAAAAGAATCAAACTTCATGTTCTAGAAAGGCCAACATAATGTGTATCATAATGTGTATCGCACATGCATTGATATGCGCAACCATTTGTGCTTTGTAAAGAAGGGGCTGCTCATCATCCGTGATTTGGTTGGTCAATGGAGTTCCCTAGCTTGGCGGATGAAGACCTACGTGGATAGATTTTGCGAGCTCAACCGCTTTCAACTGATCCTTTTGCAGTCAGACACCCTTGACATGGTTTAAGCTTTAGTGACTTTAGTGGCAGGATGGATCATTGGACAGTTTTTGTTGACTTGCAGAGGTCTCTCCTGGTCCCTCCCTGCTCAGCCAAAGATGCTTTGGTTCCAACCGCCTGCCAGGATAGGTAAACTCCGTGGACCAAGCTTCCAGCAGTTAGGGCTGCGTCACCACAAGCAGCGTATGGCTTTGTACAGGCGCCAGCGCATCTCATCTTTTAGAAAAAGTGGGGTCTCGAGTGGTCGGCAGTGCTTGGATGAACATAGTATGGACAGCTGAAAATTTGTTCAGTAGGCTTTGGAAACTGAAGCCACTCACAGCTGAGTTGACTAGCAAGATTGGGGAAGCCAGGGGCAAAGCACAAGTTTTGCACTTCACTGGCAGAACCTCTTCACCGCAAATGACCTCTCTGGGGCCGCTGAGAATTATAAGGTGACCAACTACATGGGTCACTGTCGTGCCCACAGTGTGGGGTTTCGTGGGTGAACGACTTTGAGACAAATCCGGTTGCGTCATGTTCCGCGAATTGACTGCGGGCCGATGTTCAGACATGTCACGAATCTCGTCACGCATTTTCTCCATTCCAAGGAGTTTAGGCCGGCAATTTTGATTCAAGACTCAGCACTCAGGTGCGTGGCTATCACTTCCCGAGAGAAGGACCTGTTGGCAGGAAAAAAGCTTAGGAGGAGTTCTGACGAATGTGACGGTCTCATACGTCGGTCTGGTTGGTAGGGTAGGAGATGCACTTTCAGGACACCTGTTCAGGTTTTGTTTCTTTTCTGTTTCATCTTGATCGATCGAATGTCGTTTTCACGAACACGAT